CCTCTCTCTCCCTCTCTCTCTCTCTCTCTCTGTGCGTGCGTGTGTGTGTGTGTCTGTGTGTGTGTGTGTGTGTGTGTGTGTGTTTAAAACTTGAACATTGGTAGTTTGGCAGCTATTTTCCTAGGCATGGTGAACAGCGGTTGGATTGTGACTATCTAGAGATTTGGTCATGGAGTCTCAGCCTCCCCAGTCTGACAGTGTACCACCTTACCAGCTAGAAATCTCCTTGCATTGATTTCCTCCTATCATCCAGGAATGGTTTCTCTCCTAGATCACAAGTCTTTTAAGTTTTATTTTAAATTTCATTTAAATTAGTATGTATGCTATCCAAACCAATATGGCTTTTCCTCAAAAACAATAAAAATAAGGCCTCGGGGTCCAGCTCACCTGGCAACATGCTTACCTTGCAACATTAGAAGTTCCCAGAACACAAGAATATAAATAAGTAAATAATAAATAAGTAGCATGCCCCTGTAATCTCAGCATTGGACTCTTAGGGTAGGCTGGCCAGCCATCTTAGTCTGCTTGATGAATTCCAAGCCAGTAAGAATAACACAATACCTGAGATTGTGCTCTGGCCCCACACAGCACACACAAGCACGCATGCACACACACACATGACCTACTAAACCCATTTCTGGTATATCCCCAAACAAACCCAGTATGTTAAAGAGACATCTGCATTCCTGCGTTCATTGAAGTATTTTTTCTTAACAGCTTCTAAAACATATAATCACCATAAGCATCCACTTTACTAGATCAGGTAATGATGAAAACGTGCTGTAAATACATAACTAAATGCTTTTGAACCTTTAAAAAGAAGGAATTTTCTTGTTTGCGTCAATATTGGAGAGCCTTATTCTAAGTAGAGTAAACCAGCCTAGAAGTACAAGTGCCATGGAGTCTCACTGAGGAATCTGACAGGGGCTCACAGAAGCAGGGTGTAAAGTTGTAGTCCGTCACCACAAGCCCAGGGGCTGGAAAGATGCTAGCAAAGGAACAAAATTTCAGTTTGACAGAGAGAGTAAGAGCGATCAGGGGACATGACTAATAATGTTATTATAATATACACAAAAATAATTGAGTTCACATCACATATTTTTACAAAGTATATGATACATAGATTAATTTGTACATTTAGCCATTCTGCATGTGTACAATTTCAAAATACCATATTATATATCATAAATATGTATTTCTTTAATTAAAAGAGGATTTATTAAGTTTGCTTTCAACTTCTGTTGGTCAAAGCAGTCCAACAATGGAGAGTCCCGGAACCCAATAGTTGCCCAGTCTGTGGAGCTAGACCCTTGCAGTCTTAGTCTCAGTGAAGGCCTGGGGGTTCCTGGAGAGCATAGACTCAGCCCACACTGGAATCTGAAAGAAGCTGCTTCTGATGTCAGCAAAGGAGTCAGCACCAGCAGGCACAAAGTAGAGGAATTCACTAGTGAGAACGAAGGCCAAAAGAGGAAAAAAGGCTTAGTCCTGTGTTTTTTATCTGGGCAGCACTAGGAAGCAGATCTTTCCCCATAAATAAGGCAGACTCCCACAGGCCACTTGATCTGAACAGTGCCTTGAGGGTCTTCCAAAGCACAGCTTGCTTTGTCACGTTGACAATTAGAGCTAACACCACATATACTAGTGTTTGCCTCCTGCAGAAAGGAACTACCTTTTTACTGTTACTATTATTAAATTTATGTATGATTTTTATTAGTCAGATGAAAATAAACCCTGGATTGTCCTGACAGCAGGCTTTGGGTATCTGGGAGGCTGGAGCAGAGACAGTTTGGAAGCCAGGCTTTGGGAACTAAGCTGCTCCTCATTTCAGACGGTATGGAGGTGTGGGAGGGCACTGCTGCTGAAGGTGTCTCCAGATGTTCAGTGCAGAACAGCTCAGTCTGATTCACTTTAATCGACAGAACTTGATTGGCTCACAGTTCTAGAGGCTGGAAATCCAAGACTGAGGGCTTTCTTGTTGCATCAGCCCATGGCAGAAAGACACAGAGACATAGAGAAAGTGAGAGAGTGAGACAGAGGAAAAGCTGTGTGTGTGTGTGTGTGTGTGTGTGTGTGCACGCACATGCATGTGTGTGCATGTGTATATGTGTATATATGGGTGTGTGTGTGCATGTGTGTGTGCATGTGTGTATGGGTGTGTGTATATGTATATGTGTAGGTATGTGCATGATTGTATGGAGATATGTGTGTGTACGTGTATATATGTGGTGTGTGTATGTGTGTATATATGTATGTGTGTGTATATGTGTGTGTGCTTGTGTGAGTGAAGTCACCCTTCCTCAATGACATGAACCCACTCTCAAAGGCAGGGCGAGGTTGTGGCCTGACCACCTCTCACCAGGCTTCTCCTGCCAGCTCTGCTGCCCTGGGGACTGAGCTCGGATGCAGCATCTTTGAGGGACACATTCAGACCATAGCTATGTCTAAGAAGTGCTTGTCAGCTGAAGCCTTCCCAGTGCGGTCCTGTCCTCCGGCCTCAGGCTCTGCAACCAAACTGACCTCTTTCCACCTTTCCCGAGCACTGCAGAGCTTCCCTTGTCCTGAAGTCTTCCATAAAGGCCCCAGCACGTTCCCTTCTGTCACCTGCATAATCCCTTTTCTGTTTCCTGAGTGCAGGGTCTGCTTCTATGCTATATCTATGTCCCAGATGACCTAGTGTGAGGCAGGACTGACTCTCAAGATACGTTTGAATAAATCAATAAAACATCAGTAATTCCAGAAAGAACACAGTGCCACACAAACTCCCTGGTTTTCTAGCCAAAATGTGAACTCCTGAAGAACACTGCTGTTTTCTCAGTTAAGGCTCAAAGGTTTATTCCACCCCCTATGGACCCATGGGTGGCAGTGTCCCTGAACTCTGCCCTGGGGACCCCTAGTGTCACTCTGTGGCCACCATATTAGAATCCTTCCCAGTCTCCTTCCTCTCACAGCATTTCCAGAGAGTCAGAGCCTATCGCATCCAGGGGCCTCACTTCATCGGTGTGGACAGTAGATTAACCTCCTGCTAACCTGGCTCCTCACTTGATCCTTCAAGGCTCTGCTTCTGCCCCACTAACATCACAAAACCCCCTCCACTGTATGGCTTTACACCCTCTCCCACTCCTAGAAGGGGTTAAGACAGGAATAAAAAGGAGAAAAAAAGAGGGAAGAGGAAACGCAACATTTGAAAGACCTATAAGTGGCCCATTAGGTTTACACAGTACAACATCCCTGACTGAGCCGGGATGTGTTAACTCAATTTTACAGGCAAAGCAGAGTCCAAGCCTTAGGCCTGAGCAGCAGCTCTGCCAGTAAGTGTGCCGCGCCGACCCCGACCAGCGGGAAGAAGACGCAGGACACCAGGTTCCTTCTCAAGGCAGTTTACTCAGGAAGCTTTAGCACTCTACAGATAGCTGGAAGATGGCCCCATCCCGTCCCAGGCATGGCTTATATTCCCTGCAGACATCTACAGCAAACATGCCACGTGGCGGCTCTCCATAGGTCTCGTCATGACACGTCATGTCAGACCACTGGCCAGCACAGCCTAAATGCCAAATATGGACTTGTTTACTCTACAGCGTTCAGGCAGCCGAAGCCATCTTAGGGCGAGGTCCTCTTTTGCGCCTTACAAGTAAGCGTGATGTTGGTTTGTGACTCCTACCTTCTGCCTCAAGTGACTCAGCTGTTGGATACATAAGGACTTCCGTCTGTGCGCCTACCTGTTCATTTGAAAGGGGAAATGGTTGGCCCAAAACACTGATACACCAGATAACTCAGATTTGAGAGAAATCTAAAATGAGTCATGATAAAAAGGCATACATGTAGCATCAACAAGACAAAGGAGCAGTGACCCCTGAGTCAGCTTCCTTCCTGCTTCTGCTCCCCTCACAAGGTGCTCCCAGACCTGTCCTGCACTGATCTACCTCAGGCAGGCCAGCAAATATATGTGCATGTGGCTGTCTCATCCTATTCCCTGAGACTGGTGGGAACAGACAAGAAGTATGCATCAACTTGAGAGTCCAAGGAAAGGAGCTGTCTGGACTCAGACTATAGATGCCCCAGTTGTAACGCTACAGTGACTGCCTAGAACAGACAGAGCTTTCATGCACCAGGCCCTGTGCCTCTGGAAGAACGTCCTATAGGACCTGAAAATTTTAAGTTTTAAGAAAACCTTTAAAGGTAGGAGTCACAGAAAATCAGGAGGCATTGGAGAAGGATTTTCCTATGGAAGAAAAAAGATACAGTCTTACTGAACCACAAGACAAAAATGTTTAGTTTAAATTTCTTCTGCTTCTGCCTTCCCCTTCTACCTATGTGGATTTCTCATCACCATGACGGAGTGTGTGCAAAGGCAACTCAGGGGAGGTTTCATTTGGTTCATGGCTTGAAGAGATGTCGTTGATCATGATGAGGGAGGTGACTGGTATAATTAGGACTCCTCATCTCCTGACAACTCTGCAAAACAGAGAGTAGAGGCTTGGACTGGAACCATAAAACCATCCAGCCCAGGCTGGGACTGGTAAGCCTGCTCCCAGTTACCTACTCCTACCAGCTAGGCCTCAAAGGTTCTGCAGCCTCCCAAAACAGTACCACCAGAAGGAGCCAAGGATTCAAACACAGGAGCCCAGCATAGGGCAGGGGGCTGCAGACCTCCATCCTCCTGTCGGGTGCTGAGACCAGGGTCTCTCTCACCTTTCCCTCTTCACTCCAGCATAGACATCTGCACACAGAAGGGATGTCCCTCTGTGTCCCCCATCCTTACCCCAAACTGGCCAGTGACAGTTTGTAATGCATCAGAGCATCTCTGCTCCTGATTGTCACCTCAAACATTCCTACACACACACTTGGCAGTTTTCTCCAGAAAGAGACTCAAACTGTAGCATGGTCCCCAGGGCCTCCTTTCCTGCAACGCCCTTCGTTCATCCAGTCAGAAGATTGACTTGAGACATCTGAACACCAGCAGGTTTACATGATTGCTCTACATGGATATTTATGATGTGTCTAGTAGGCTATCTTGACCACAGGGAAGGAACCTGACTCTTAAGAGAGAACCACCCCTGACATATGGGCCAAACCAGATCAAAAGGATGGCACCCTGGCCATAACACAGAGTTTGTGTCTGTGTGTGAGACACTGGTACACTTCCTCCTCAGTAGTAGATAGCAACTCCAGCAAACAGATGGTGAGAGCCACTTGTCCTTCCCAGAAGAGCCAGGATCTATAATATGACAGGCTCTTGGGTTTTTCATCTTGATTATTTTCCATCAAAATGGTAATACAGACAGTGTGTTAAAGATATTCCACAACTTCCACTGTCTTATTTACCATACTTGGCTCAGTTCCTAGAATGGAGTGCAGACTCTGACTGGACCCCGCTAATCAGCTCACCGCTCAGGGAAGCGCGCACGGACTATAGGGGAAAGCGGTGCCCCACAAGATTGGGAAGGTCGTTATGCAAATCCAAACAACTTCATTTGGGGCTCTCAGCACATGTAATAATTTTTTCTATAACTAGAATTCCAATCCTGGTGTGGATTTTTATCATTTTTATTAGATTACTTCCTCAGAGCTGAAATCACGATTTATTGTTTGCGTTAGATCCGGGAGTAAAGCTGTCACTGCTACTAAATTTTTATTGGACTTGCTCAGTCTTTTCCAAGTTTTACAACTTGATCATTGCCAGAGAAGAAGGACTGTGAGCTTCTTGTAACAGACAGGTATTTTAATTAAGGGACACACTGATGTCCCTCATCCATGACACTTGGCTCTGTGCGTGCAGCCCGTCTATACTAATTTATACATAACCGTTTACATATATTTAGGTCATATATGTTCTGTTCTGACAAAAGAACATGATCATATAGGTCTGCCTAAGGGAAGTATGGTAGGAGCCAGAGAGATGGCTTAGCATTAAGACCACTCATTGCTCTTCCAGAGGACCTGGGTTCAATTCCCAGTACCCACATAGTGGCTCACAATAAGCTATAACTGCCATTCCAAGAGCTTTAATGTTCTCTTCTAACCTGGCCCCAAGCAGATGTGATGTGATGCGTGTAACCCCAGCACTGGGATGCTGCTAGAGACAGGCCGATCCTACGGTTCTCTGACTGGCCAGAGAGCTGCAGGTTCAGTGAGAGAACTTTTCCCCAAATAATGATGTGGAGAACGCTAGAGGAAGACAGCTGACCACAACCTGGATCCTCTGTGTGCACACACACAAAGGCATGCATACACATGCACACATGTACACAGAGTCCAACTAGAATGCCTGATGCCTTTTATCTGGAGAATTTTAGAATGTCTTACCCCTTTTCTGTAAATCACTTCACCCAACTCAATCCTGCCATTTTTCTTTTGGCCATTCTATTAAATATTATATTATTTTTGATGGTCTCTACTGCAACCAAAACGGGCCTTGACTGTTCTATCTCTTCACTGTTGTCTTGCTGCGGTGAATCTCATGGGCCAGCAGATATTGGTGCCAGGTGTATCCACCTAAGGACAAGACATCAGAGACAAACTAGAGGCAGAAAGCTTGGAACATTTCTGGCTGTGTCTCCCTGGTCATGCTTACCTCACCAACAGTTAAAATGAGACTATAGTGTTGCTTTGGCGCTCCTACCATCCCCATGAAGCAATGGGCTGGGCTCAAGACCCACAACTACAGTCAGCAGGAACTTTGGGATATGAACAGGATACAGATAGAGGATGCCACCAGAATTATCCCAGCAGCCATATGCAACTGTTTCCTCTGTCCCTAGCATGTCAGGGGAGACCCACTCCCTTGAGTTTCCAGGTGTGTGAGCCCCTTCTCTTTGCATTTAGTAGAAGGTGTGTGTGTGTGTGTGTGTGTGTGTGTGTGTGTGTGTGTGTGTGTGTGTGTAAAACCCCTAAGGAGACTGAAACTCATATTAAAAGAGGAAGGCTTATATTTTAAATCACAAAAGGGAGGATCTTTTGAAGAAATACATATTCTCTCTCTGTGGCTTCCTTCATGACTAAGTGGATCCAGGACTGACAGCTCCAGAACCGGGCATCTCCAAAGAAAAGTTCTTTCTGAGAATTCCCACTGTGAGTGGCCCTCAGGGATATACAGTTCTACAGCCAGAAGGCAGTAACTTATCTGCTTTCAGTATGTGGTTAAACAGTCCATCCTGCAGCCGACTGTAATCTTGGGCTTATGAAAATAAGAGAAAATGAACGGAAATCACCCCTGATTGACAAAATAAGGTCAGAAGAGTTCTCAGGTTTTTAAGGCAGGAAGGTTGACTCCCTGCCATGACCCTCCGAAGGAAATTGTGCTTAAATAATGATGCTCAAACCTGTGAAACGTGAACCAAGTGAAGCGAATGGAGAAGGATGAAGCCATCGTATGCACCAGAGTTGTTTTAATTGTGTTCCTGTATTCTGTAGAATGAATGTGCTCCTACAACTAATGAGATTTGTGTTTTATGTTTGTAACCAGCAGAGGTAGCTGACGGTGATGAAAGACTGGACGGCATCTCTCTACCCCCAACAGGTAAAACACATTTATGTTTCATCACCCGCTGCAAGGGAGCATTTGCATTGAGAATGCTTTGACCATTAGGGATGCAGGTGCTTGAGCAAGCTGCGTCTGTAATAGACCCAGACCCTCACATTCAGTTTCTTGGGGGCCTAGGTTCAGCTCTGTTTCCACACTGAATGTGAAAAACAACATTTTTTTCTTACACCCTGTTTTATATTCATAAAAATCTTAGAAATGCAAATCCTAAGGAGTTAGTCCCACAAGATGCTGCCTCACTGAGCCTTTAGACATGAAATGACGTTTTTTTGGCATAAAACGGCATTTAGCTTTAAACCAGGATTGTCAACTTTGTGTGACCGAATTCAGGCCTGTTTTTGTCTTGTTCCACCAGAGGCCTTTGAGAGGCAGGCATCAGCAGTCTTCACGTAGTAATTTTTTTTTTTTATGTGTGTTGGAATAAGCCAGCCCAGTCAGTGTGGATGACACCCTCCTGGTATTTGAACCAGATCAGCAAATGCAAAGAGTACTAAAGCATTCTCTACACAGCTGTGTTCAGCTGTGGGCTTGATTCCAACTGGCCACAAGACTCTGTGTGATGCCTCTGATCCTGGCCTCCTGCCTGTGTGTGAGTTCACACCCAAGAGTAGAATAGGTGCCTGACCAGTGAGCCTTGTGTCAAACAATTTCTGCCCTCACTTATCCCCTGCTTGATCTCACGGCTTTCATTTGGCTGTCCTTCAAAGATTGTCCAAAGATTCCATCCATAAAATCCAGACAGTCCAAAAAAACCTTAGACTATAAAAGCTCAATTCAGTGTTGGTAGTAGGGTTTCTTTGTTTTTTTTTTTCTCTTTAAATCTGGGGCTGTAAGACTTGAATTAAATTCAGAAAATGTGAGTGTAGTATGTTCGCAGAGACTCTTGGTATAGTCCCTTCTGGTCACATGGTCTTGTGACCATGAACTCCCAAGACCACGGGGTCTTGAGGCCCAGAAATGTTAGCATGTATCTTGGAGTTTACTAAAGCAAAGCTCATAGGTGAACTTAGAGCTGCCAGAAGCCCCCACCATGTAAATCACAGCCTGCTTTCTCTGCCTTGAGTAGCCAAGCAACAAGTCAATGGACAGATAAATGAAATACGTGTCATATGGTACACAAAAACCTGCCTACAGCCAGTTCTTCTGTCCTATAGAAGTGCTGTAGAAGGAATCGCTCCTTGTTGTTCTGTGTTTCCATACTTGTAGGTCAGGAGAGTGAATGTGTGATCTCCAGTGCTCCTTACCATTCTCTGAATATCAGGACACTCATGCTGATAATATAATTATCACCTTTGACCCATTCCCAGCAGATGCAGGAAATACTGATCACAATGATGGGATTATGGTTCAAGGGCCTTGGGGAGGAATGTCTTACTTTTGTGCTTGTCCCCTGGGCATCTGTAGCAGCTGTCCTCTGCATCAGATGATGCAATAGGCTTTTGCTTTATTATTTGAAGACCGTGTATCTTGCAATTATACCTTTGCATTTAACTGTCTAAAGATGGAGGCAGAGAGGCTTCAGAGGAAAAAAAAAAAAAAAACAGCCTGGGGATGCCGGAGGAGCTTCCTGGGGATGACAATTCCCAAGGAATTGGAAAATGAAGGGGCCTTGAGAGTTCATCTGGACCAATACCTCCTTTTTATCCAGCCTTTTTATTTCAAGGGCGTGGGAGAGATGGAGGCCCAGAAACATTAAATGACTTTTCCAAGGTGTCGCAGCTGGTGATAGCCTAGTTGGGCCCTGTCCCCTTGACTTCCAACTCTTATAGCATAGAGCTTTCTTATACCTAAGCCAAAGCCAGCTCTTCTCTGCATGTTTCTTAAAGATCCCGGGAGACTTGGATGTGCGGTACCGTTAGGATTCCATTTCAGTGACTCGGCCTTTGTATGTATGTTTGACACCATCTACCGAAGGCCGCTTCAGTTAAAGCTCGTTGCTTTTACTCCTTTCTTAAATGCTGCCCAGGGAATGTGAGGGGATGAGAAGACTATTGCTGAATAGAGACACATCCACTGACCAGCAGTGTGTGTGTGTGTGTGTGTGTGTGTGTTTTAAAGTATTCGTCATTTTGAAAAAGTAGGAAAGAGGTCACAGATAGGTTCTCAGATTTTAAGTATCAAGTTAAATAATCTTGATAGCATGCTTCATGGTTGCCTTCCAAAGTAAAATCCCAACTCTGGCATGCCTCTTAGAATGCAGCATTGCTGCAGATCATCCTCCACAGGCGATGCGGCCATCCGAAGGGTGAACTCCACATCCTACACACAGAGTTCCAGTGCACTCAGCCTCACTGAACAGAACTGTGGAACCAACTAGATGTGAGATCCACATCTCCAGCTCCTCATTTATCTGAGTTGACCAAAGCTGACCCTTTGTAAAGAGTCACAGTGCTTGTATTACTTTGTCTTTTTGGTCCTTTAAATGTGGTATTCGGGAGACAGGAGAGGAGATCCTTGTGTTGCGGTGAGCCTGTAGTAATCAGGGTAGAATTACCTACGCTCAGGTGGTCAGACGGCTTTATTCCCAGCTACTACTTGAGTCTCAATGTGTCTTATGTAGCCCAGGTTGGCCTCTCTGGCTTTGAGTTTCCAGTCCTCTTACCCCTCCCCTCAGGTGCTGGGACAGTAGCCATAGGCCTTGCTGCTAAAAATGTGTTGACCCATTCAGTGAGCCTTCGAGCAGCAGTCAGCAGGACCCCACACAGATTCCTGCCCTCAGACTAGGGTGAGAGACAGAAGCAGCTACTCACACACTGTGGAGTAGATGTGGACGGAGTGCTGGATCGCAGACTGCCCCCAGAAATCCAGGGACAATTGACATTTGTTTAAAAAAAAAATGTATAAAGTCAGTCAAAGTAATTCCTTTCCAGTTTGAAGATGGGGCCTGTGGATCTGAACAGGGTGATACTTGTCTGGACTTACCAGTTTACATTCTCAGTTGGCATTCTTTGTGTCTATGTTTCAGAAAGCACAAGTAAAAGAGTGTACTTACTCTTCCTACTCAGAGACAACTGTTACTGTTGCCCCCTCACACAAACCAAATAGAGAAGATTTGATTTATCTAATGGAGATCAAATAAAGGAAATTTGTCTCCTGAGTTGCTTGGTTTTCACCTAAGACACATTTTTTTCCCACTCTATCCAAGTCTGCACATGCATTACTAGCTATTTAATAGTGTTTTCAGGGGTAAGTCATATTTAACTATTTTCTGTTGTTGAGTAATATGCCACTAATGGTAACATATATTCCATGGGCTTTCCTGTTTTTTTTTTTTTAAATCCATCATAAATTCCTAATTCTTGAAATTACTCACTTACCACAATTGAACTTGATACTTAGTGGCTCCACGGCTGTGACTGGCCGGCACGGGCATGTGCCCCGCCCTCAAACCCTCCAGTAGACTTACCTGCTCCCCACCAGACCTGGCCATGTGATAAAATGTGCGTCTCTGCTGCAGAGGAGCACTCTCCCTCACAGTCTTGTCTCTGTTGCAGGTCATACATTTGTTACCAGGAGAGAGACTCCAGAGGACCCAGAACGAAGTTCTGTTGCCTAGACTTGCATTCTAGAACGCTCTTTGTTTCCTCCAAGGTCCGTGTAACAGTTGCTGATCCTGCAGTGTGGGTGTTCTGTGGTGGCTTGTCCTGTCTGAATAATTTCTTTGTAACACGTGGTATCACAAATCCAGTTTGGCATAATATTTTTTTAAAGAACCATGCTTACAGTTGTTACCCTGTAAGCATCCAGCGTGTGTGTGACCCATCGTAAAGAAGCCATCTCCTTCCTGTTCCTGTCCGTTCACAGCCTCACTGTCTTTCTAAACATATTTATTTTATTGTGAATTGCTTAGCTGCATGCAGAGAGGAAACCTTCTCTCCCAGGACTGACAGAGGTTACAAAGCAGTGCTAACTAGCCCCTCTTCAGCTTAGAGAAGGAAACAGTTGTTCTGAGAGACAGGGGAGCTCCTGCCTGGCCAGTGAAGTTGTTTGTGACGTCATAGGAACCCGGAGCAGACATTCGGGACTGGAGAAGTACATATGATGTACGAATTCTTAAGAAATAAAATCTTTCACATAATTTATGATGATGTAATGACAAAAATAAATAAATAACTCAAAGTAACCAGCCATCTGCTTGGGAGCTGTCAAACATTTAAATATGGTTTTAACTGAGCAGCCTTGGCTTTGACCCTGTTTTCATGTTCATTCTGTAGTCTGGTCCCTCACTCTTGCCTTCTACTTTTTGTAAGACTAAATATGAGGAAAAGAATCTGGGTTTATTTTAAAGAAATCATTGCTGTGGGGATATTTGTTTTACAGACATATTTACCTCCACTTTTTTTTTTGCTAGTGAAATAGTGCATTGAAAATACCACCTTACGCCGGGCAGTGGTGGCACATGACTTTAATCCCAGCACTTGGGAAGCAGAGGCAGGAGGATTTCTGAGTTCAAGGCCAGCCTGGTCTACAGAGTGAGTTCCAGGACAGCCAGGGCTACACAGAGAAACCCTGTCTCGAAAAAAAAAAAAAAGAAAGAAAAGAAAGAAAATACCACCTTAGAAAACCTTGCCTTTTCACCTTATTTATCATGTAAAGCAAATTGCCTCGAATCTTGGGCACTGGACACAAAGGCCAAAATTGCCATAAAATAAAATGTGACTCTCATCCACCAAACCCCAGAGATAAAAATCTGCCAGGACAAAAGCTTGGGCTTTTCCCTACTATTGTTGCGGTGATGGGTTAAAGCCAACAGTTAGCGTGCTCCAAGGACCAAGTCCCACCCTGTGATTTCCCAGTGAGAGGGCCGAGAAGTGTGTACAAGGCTGCCTAGGACCAGGGTTCCGTTGGTGGCCAGCTGGCCATAGAACCTGGATGTCCTTAGGACCCTGTCCAGTGTACTGCGTCACGGAACACAGAACACTAAAGATAGGACCAGAGCAGTATTCCACTGAGACCAGCTAGTGAGGATGATAGGCCATATATATCCCTGGAATGTGACAAAACATGCCTCTAGGTGTTGCTGGTACAGTCAGTCTCTCGAGGAGACAGCAACATCTCACAGATGCACCTTTTACTTCTCTCCGTTTGGAAGCTATGAGAATGGCTTGGAAATGACTCCCATCCTGCACTACTTGTCAGCTACCAGTTTCTGTTCCCGCTGCCCCTAATCCCTGTTTTATGGAGCAACCTGTCTGATGAGCTGCAGACAGACCAGGACTCTCATTCACTCTGCAGCAGATCCTGAAAAAAATTGTCTTCTGCCTCCCAGAATGAAATACTCCTCCAGGGGACGAGAGAAGCCGAATTAGTGCCCTTTACTCTATTAAATGATGGTGAATTTGGTTTTAGTACAGGAAGAACATGGACTCACAACTGGAGGCCTGTTGGGTGTACACTGTAAACCTTCAGAAAACACTTTCTTCTGAGCCTGGGTGACAACTTGGAGTTGTCAGTTCTTGAGGAGGGGTGGGATTGTTTGGCTCACAGATAAGTACAATAGGTTCACAGATTGGGAAGGCAGATTAAAACTATAACAGTAAAACCATGTTTTGTAAGTTTACATTGTATTTGTGTTAACTTACCGTGACTACTGTTCAACTTTGTTTAGAAACCCTTTTTATAGGCTTTCTTAGCAAAAAAATAAAAAAGTCCATATCTATGGATGATATGTCTCAATCTTCTGTACATATGTTTTATTAATATGTAAATATTCAGATTTTTTAAAATTATGATGTTCTTTTAAAAGAATTCAATGCAAAGCTAGTTGTGAAAATGGTGTGTAACACTGTGTTGTGATTTCAACTCCCAAGATGCCCTTTATGTCCATTATGGAAAAATACAATAAATTACTTTAATTGAATGCACACGAGTCTTGCTTGCTACCCAGTCTTCTTGTGTTTATGAAGTCAATGCCGTTCATTAATTAAAAGCGATTTATGAATATTCTGATGATTTTTCTCAAGGTTTATGCCTGGGTGGGAAATTATGTTTACAAATAAAGCAAGCAGGTTTCTAGCAGCCAGCCTGGTAGACGGTACAGTCCCAGGTTCGTCTGGCAGTCGGATCAATGGCTACAGCGAGTCCCACAGAAACACTTGGGCATTAAGCACTGAGATGCTCGAAACCTAATTTTAAATGAATTAGGTAGCCTTATAATCTTCACTTAAAAGGCTAAGCCCCGCTTCTATGGAAACAACACACCAGAAGGACAAATCAATCCTTCCCAACATAAAGTGGCCACCAAAGAGCAGGCGCTGCTCTTCTCCTCCTTCACCACGGCAGGGCGCTGTGCCGCGCTCGCGCTTGGTGCTGGGGACCTCTTGTTCCCTAGGGCATCCTCAATCCTCAGCTCAGAGCACGTGACATTCCGAGCCTGGAATCTGGCTCCATTGGCTATTTACTTCAGGATCTGTTCCAAAATGAGAGGAGTTTGAGCTGTTTAAAACTTGGGGGTCGGGGGGGGACTGGCTTGTGGTGGCAAGGGGTAGTAGCTGCTGCTTAAGAAATCAGCTGGCCGGGGGTGGGGGAGGGGAAGCACCAGGATGAGCTGTTTGCAAAAGAAAATCTACACTCAACATAAATCTTCACACTGTTTCTTTGAAGCTGCGAGCTTGCCACAAGCTATCCCGTCCTACCATATGCCCTCTCCTTTGTGGGCTCCATGGCTATCCATGAAAATGTTTGTTGAGGGATCTACGGGATGCTTTACTGCCCAGGGCCACTGGGATGCACTTGCTTCCTTATGCTGGCAAAGACTGCTGTCCTAGGTCTCTGACTGCCTTTCCAATCTGATGTGAGCAAGGGAGTGTCCACAGTAGGAGGCTCTACCAGAAGGGGACCACTACCTCTTCCTTCCACATCCCAGCCTTATCAAGTGATTGGTACGGTGGCCTTATTTTTCAGCTACACCGAGTTCAGCTCCACCATGTACCCACCACAACTAGGTCAAACCCTGTGATGGCTTCCAACCTATCAAGTTGAGGTACAAGGGAGAGAACAAGGCAAGGGCCAAACTGGAGAGGCACCTGGCACCAAACTGCACCAAGTGCCTTCCCTTCCAAGACATGAGGTCATCAGGTCCACTACTGGAATAGTGTAAATAAAAGGTTCTGGTTTCTGTCTTACATTGATCCGTTCGAACAAAGTAGGGATCTATCTGCTGTGGGAAGAACTATGGAGAGAGAAAAGGAACACAGGGCAAACCCAGCCATGTGCAAGCACAAGACGAGAAACCAAAATTCAGTGACTAGCTTGGGTTGGAGGGAGGTTGCTAGTTGCTAAGATACAGACAAGTGTCCAGAGGATAGTAAGTGAGTCTGGTCTAGATACTAGCACAGTGATTCCTTCTGTGAACGTTGACATCACCCTTGGAACTATGCTGGGATCACAACAGAAAAGAAGAGGAGGAGGAGGGGGAAGGAGAAAGAAAAAGAGGAGGAGGAGGAAGAGGAGGAGGAGGAGAAAAGAATTTTTTGAGAGAGGGGACAAAAGATTGTAAGAGCCAGAGGTTGAGGAGGACTAGAGCCAAGCTGTCTTTTGACATGACAAGATCACTATATGCATGACCTCACAGCATCTGTGGTTGCCTGTACAAGACCTGTACAAAATCAAGCCACTCAACACTCTACAAACTCCACTTATAACTGAAGAGCTATTGATTGGGAGCTGATGGTTAGGGAAGGGAGAGTCTGTTTTCTTTAAAGGTGTGGCCCCTGGTGTGTCTACTAAGCTCTAGTGGATGGCCTCACATCCTTGAGTATACAGGAAACATAAATGGACTCAGTGGGTTATTAAAAAAAATACATGAGGGAGTTGGGAACTGGTGAGAAGGTAGGGGTGAATCTGAGAGGAGAAGTGAATATAGTCAAAAGACACTATGAAATTCTCAAAATAGTAAATATTTTTTAAGATGGCCTCATCCAGAATTCACTTAAACCCCCTGTTACCAAATTGGACATACAGAAGAACCCCGTGGGAAATAGCTGCATTCAAGGCCTGTTTGTATTCATAAGCAACTTTACCAGATAGGAGGGAACTTAAACTTGCAAGCTTTGTCCCACATTAGAAGCCATTACAATCTGTGGCACCATTCATTTCTCTCAGATCATCTCTTAGCTAATTAATCATCGAGGTGTTCCTATGACTCTCAACTCACAAATAGCCACCAAGCTCCATCTAATGAGATTTTTACCCTGGTTGCTTAATGTTTTCTGGAATCATTTGCATGCACTTGGTTGTTAATGTTCTACTGGAATCTAGGCTTCAATGTCAGCTTAGCTGTGAGACCAGCAAGATTGTTGACCCTCTGAAAACATTTTTAGTCAACTTTCCCAGCAAGAGTGAATTGGCTAAAAACCTTACATGCAACCTTGTCCTACCCACAGCAAGTTGTGGTCTCCTGGTATGGTGGTTTGAATATGCTTGGCCCTTGGGAAGTGGCACTATTGGGAGGTGTGGCCTTGATAGAAGAAATGTGTCACTGTGGGGGCGGGCTTTGAGGTTCCTATGTTCAGGCTTCACCCAGTGCAGAAGAGACCCTCCTACTGGCTGCCTGCAAAAGTGAGTCTCCTGGCTACCTGGAGATCAAGATGTAGAACTCTCAGGCTGCCATGCTTCCTGCCATGATGATAATGGACTGAACCTCTAACTGATAACCCAAATTGAATTGATGTTAAAAGACTTTTTTGACTGTTTTACTCAATATCATTTAGATCTATTCATTAAGAAGTTAAACATTTTAAACCATAAAATTTGGGGCTAGAGAGATGGTTCTGTGGTTAAGTGCACTATTCATCTAAAGGATCCAGCTCAACTCCTAGCACCCACTTGGCAGCTCAAAACATCTGGAAATCCAGTGCCAGGGGATCTAATAACCTCTTCCGGCCTGCTCAGATACCAGGCATAAAAGTGGTACAGAGATAAATGCAGGCAAACACCCACACAGACAGATAAAAAATTAAATTAGATTTTAAAACCTGAATTTGAGACTATGTTTAGGTCATTCCTTTTAAATACTCTTCCAAAAAGGCAGCTGGTGCTGGTGTGTTGGACGTTCTCTAACCAGCTCTCTTTCTCCCGGTTACGTGAACTCTTCCACTCAAGGTTGAGACAGATTCAAACAAGGTGGAAGGCCCTTGGTGTGACTATGAAGTGAAAATCAATTTTACAGGGGAAATGGAGCATCCTAAATTGTTACAACTAAGTCACTGGTGCCAATTGCATATTTTGTTAGAAAAACTGTTTTCTGCTATATTCTAGCATGAGAGGGAAAGAGACTGTCATAATAGAGGGCACTCACCCGGTACTGTACCAAATTAACTCTCATCCCAAGGCGATGTATTTCTAACCACCTGATAAGGAAAATCAGAAGTAACTCAATTAACAAGTGCTGTGCTGGCCCCACCCCACTCTGGTTCGGAACATGGTCTTCTGCAGCATCCTGAAGGGAGGCTCTTCACCTCATATAACCATATCCGCTGTGTCCTCTCTTGCCCTTCACCAACGCACCTCTAAAATGGACCAGAAATTGTGAGTGTGTGGCTCTCCTTAAGACACATGTTTGTAGTTAAGAGGTATGAGTGCACTGTTCAGGTTTGTTCTCCTACCCCATTAATGTCAGGTTCCTGTGCCTTCTCCCGTAGAACTGGCTGGCCAGTCTTGGGAGTCACCTTACTATAAATGTTAGACTAATTCCTGTATAGAGGCTGCAGACCATCACACACACCATGATGGTGCTGTTATCTTGTCTCTTGTGATCGTAGAGTTCTAGAAAATGAAACCCAAAAACTTTGGGATCAGAAAGCAGAGGACGAAGTAGACAAGTTTAGTCTGGAAGACTACTGACCTTTGCAGGTGAGAAACCAAATGAATTTTACAGATGTGAGAGACTTCAGCTACCTTCAGTTCAATGGTTTGTAAAACTACAGAAATAGAAACTTTGATGGCCATAGGAAATAAACAGACTTTGACTTGGGAAGATGGCTCTGTCATTACAACGTCTCTATAAAAGCAGGAAGGCCTGGGTTTTACCTCCAGTGCCCATGTTTAACTACAAATAAATAAAATTAATTTTTAAAACTGAGCACAGTGATGTGTGTTCTTAATCCTAGCACGGGAGGGACAGAGACAGCATGAGGATGCTCCCTAGGGATTGCTAGCCAGGCAGAGTCACCTACGTGACAAGCCCCAGGCTAATGAAAAACCCTGTCTCAGACAGGGTAGACAGCATCTGAGGAAAACATCTGGGGTTGTCCTCTGGCTTCAACATACACAGAGAGGGGGGAGGGAAAGGGGAGAGGGGAGAGGGGAGAGGGGAGACAGAGAGGGAGGGAGAGAGAGAGAAGGAGGAGGAGGGAGAGGAGGGGGACAGATAGAAGACAAAACCTAATCTATATAAATATACAGTAAAGGTGGCATAACATTCATCATAGCATGTAAGCCACTATGACAAAGCCACCACCCCCTAAAGAATGTAGATTAACTAAAATGAGTTTTTCCTCTAACCGGACGGATGAATAGTAGTCAGCCCCGAAGAGGTTTGCAACCCTATAGGAAGAACAACAATATCAACCAACCAGACAACCCAAAGCTCCCAGGGACTAAACCATCAACCACAGAGTACACATGGGGGACCCATGGCTCCAGCTGGATATGTAGCAGAGGATTGCCTTATCTGGCATCACTGGGAAAGGAGCTCCTTGGTCTGTGATGGCTCAATGACCCAGGGTAGGGGAATGGCAGGGACATTTTGAGGCCGGAGTGGGTGGGCAGGTGGAGGAGCACCCTCATAGAGGCAGGGAGTTGTGGAGGGAATAGGGGGTTTGTGGAGAGGAAACTAGATGTAAATAAATAAAATAACCAATAATAATA